CATTTAGACCTAGTGCCGTTTCTACAGAGCAGAAGTAAAAATCGTAGGGTTTAAAGCACTTTGCTTCTGAACTAATTAAATATATATATATAATGTCCTGATTTAGATGATAGTTTATGTTTACAACAAAAAAATTATCTACAGCTGCTAGCAAGGTACCAAGGAAACCAGTAATATGGGATTAGAAATGGCTGCCAGTTGCAAGATACACACATTAGCTCATCAGTAATCAGTTATTTTTAACTCTGAAAAACAGTACGTCAATATCCATCCGATTTTTGGTGATTTAGTGCTGTGGCGAAAGTACCTGACACACCACTATCACATTGTTCTTTATAACAAGAACATTATTTTGCTACGAAAAGTTTGTATTTTAAGGATTGGGGCTGGCCTCCGAAATGGATAACCTGGGTGACTGCACTAAAAATTCAGGGGAATCTCTCCTTCTTCCAGACTCATTGAGGAGCTATCTTGTGAATCTGAAGCGTTTGGGCAGCAGCAGGTGAGGGAACGAAGCAGGCGCTGCCTACATTGTAGAAGCAGTATTTCCTTCTGTGGAAATGTTGGCAATTTTCCTCGCAGTCCCAACCACGACAGCACTTCTTAAGGCTGGGAAAGGAGGAACAGAAATACAGACTAAAACTAAAGAGGATAGAACAGGGAAGAGAGAAAGACAACATAATCAATGAAGAAAACGAAAGAATATGGACTTAGATGGGCAGGAAGGGAAATGATCCCAGAAAATAATGGAAGGAAGGTAAAGAGGCAAAAAGGTTTATTTTTTTAAAATCCAGCCTGTCAGTCAAAGATACCGAGTGCTATTTCCAAACAAAACAAAAAAAAAAAAAAAAGCCATGTAGGCAATCAGAAATGGAAACAGAAGTAGGGAAGACCACCTTAACTGAAAAAAAAACCCTGAAGGCAAGAGGGGTTTTTGTTTGGTTGGTTTTGTTTGTTTGTTTTTTAAATAAAATGGGAGGAGGAGAGAGGGGAAAGTGGTCATACTCTTATAGCTCAACACTGTCCCCCAAGTGCAGTCATTTCTCATGGCTTTCTAAGAAAGAACCTCCAGAATCCTTCCTCCAA